CCTTAGGCACTGAGCCACCAGATGTCATTAGCAACGCGACCATGTATAGAGAGTATTTACTGAGTATTTGTTGAGTAGTTGATATTGATAGGAAAAAAATATCATCTAAGATGATAGCAATCTAAATGTCCATCATCAACAGAGGAATGGATCAACAAACCATGGTACATACACACAACAGAATACTATGCAACATTAAAGAATGATGATGAATCTGTGAAACATATCATTACATGAATAAACTTAGAAGACATTATATTTTGTGAGATTAGTCATCACAGAAGGACAAATACTGTATGAGAGCACTATTGTAAAAAGTTAAGAAAAGAGTTTCACAAAAAAAAGATCCTTTGATGGTTACTGGGGGCGGGGTGTGTGTGTTCACCACTAACTAGAGGGTAGACACATAATAACTTGGGTGAAAGGAATAATACACACACACACACACACACATATTGTCTAAGAGCAAGTCTCTTGCTATACAACAAATATAGGAGAATATGAAGATATTTGAATATCTGGAAATTATAGACAGCAAGACATAGCTGAAGCTTGTTAATTTGCTATTTTCTCATTCAATAAAAAAATAATAAAGATTTTCTAATACGTCAGAAAAATGTATTTAATTCAGAAGTAGCACCTGCTTTTCACTGATCCTATTTTACGAGTATTCAACAAATATTACTAAGATCAATAACCTGTTTAAGCTTGAGGACACAAACCTGTGCTTAAAATAACACAAAAACAGGAGGCAGGGCAGGATGGCGGACTAGGCAGAAGGATTGCACAGACCCTCTTCAACAAAGAAAAGGGAAACCAATAACTACAGACACAGAAGATTTTCTAATACGTCAGAAAAATGTATTTAATTCAGAAGTAGCACCTGCTTTTCACTGATCCTATACGAGTATTCAACAAATATTACTAAGATCAATAACCTGTTTAAGCTTGAGGACACAAACCTGTGCTTAAAATAACACAAAAACAGGAGGCGGGGCAGGATGGCGGACTAGGCAGAAGGATTGCACAGACCCTCTTCAACAAAGAAAAGGGAAACCAAT